ATGACTTGGTGGGACTTGGTGGGGCTGCCTCTTTGGATGGGCCGTGCCCATGCCATTTCAACCTAGTCCCTGCCCCTCCCTATCATCTCACCAAGGCTCCCTCTCTTCATTTGTTTCCTACCTTTTGTGGGTTGTCAGACACTGTTCTGCACAGTACCTAGGAGTAAAGCTGGAACCAGGGAGTAGAAATCTCAGAGAGGCAGACTGCAGAAGAACTTCAAAAGGTCTGGTGCTCCCAGCTCTGCTGAAGAGCTCTCAGATTTGTCCATTCTCCCACTCACTCCCTCTTGGAACCTACCATCCCCCAAACTTGCACAAAACCTGAGGGACCTCTTTAATGGTCGTTTAAACCAAACTCCTGCTGAGCCGGGGAGTCCCTTCTAGGATAGCCCTGAACGAGCCTGGTCCAGTTCTGAACAAGATGGCAAATGAACAGGGCTGCTGTCCCTCCGTGGAACCCAGCCGTGAAGATGTCACAGGACCAGCACAGGGAGAGCAGTGAAAGGTAGGATGGTGCTGAGACTCTTAAGACACAAGACAGTAATGACGTAAGGTGTGGGGCATAGTAAGTTAGGACTAACCACAAGAAGAATAATATATAACTTTCGAACCAGCAGAAGAAAATTCAATCTACACAATAAAGGATAGGGAAAGGAAAAAAAAAAAAGCAGAGAGAACACATGATAAGTGGAAAGCATTAAATAAGATGGAAGAAGTAAGTCCTAATAGAATAGCAATTATAGTAATTATATAATTGGCTAAACTCCCTGATCAAAATTCAGACTCTCATACTGGATGTTTTAAAATCCATCAATCACATCAAAATGTGTCTGAAAAGACACATTTAAGACAAAAAGATATATAAAGCTTAAATAAAATAATAAACTTTCAGTTAAATAAAGTGGATTAAACTCTACTCCCTCTCAAAAGCCCACTGAAATAAAAGTAAAGGGATTTTTTTAAAGGTATGAATCACCAGAACAAAGAGAAGAGGACAAAAACATAAACAAAAACCCAGCAGTTAAGATATATCAACACATAAGATATGGAAGTGGAAGGAAGCATTAACAGATCAGATTAGATCAGACAGGATCAGATTTTTTTTTTTTAAATGAACATTCCGGGAACAAAAAGGAACTCTTGGAAATTAAAATTATAAATAGTCAAATAAAAAATTCAATGTAAGTTTAGAAGAAATTTTCCAAAAAGTAGAAGAGAAAGATAAAGAGATGGATAGTACTATTAAAAAAGATGAGGTGGTCCAATGGTTAAGACTCCACGATTCCACTGCAGGGGGCAAGGGTTTGATCCCTGGTTGGGGAACTAAGATCCCACATGCCGCATGGCACAGCCCCCCCCCCAAAAAAAAAAAAAAAAAAGATAAGATCACAAGACCAACTCAAGAGGTCCAAAATCTGACTAATAATGAGTTCCTGAAAGGGAGAACAGAAAAATAGAGGGGTGAAAATTACAAAAGAAATAAAATGAAATTTCCCCAAACTGAAGAACTCAGAGGTAGGAGCCACCTCTTCTGCCTACAGAGCTCTGAGAAGGTGGCAACCTGTTAGGCTCCGGGAACCTAAAGTTTCATGTCCCTGGCATCCACTGAGTGTAAGTCAATGGAGCCTGAGCTCACATCAGCTCTCCTGGAAGCCACATCCTCCTACTGAAGTATATGGGGTTTGCAATCAGCAAAACCTCACAAGTTCTTTTCACCCATGTTGCTACTAAACCACAAGCCCCAAACTGTACTTGCATTGTTACTTTCCCAAATGTAGCCCCTCACATTTCCCTGGTGAATTCCACCTTTCCAGAGTTGGCCCAGTGTTTGCTCAGTCTATGTAAAGAGCTCCAAAAATTTCAATCCTGTTCCTCCTGGCCTGTTCTCAGCCAGTACCACCATCAACAGCCCCAAGACACAAATCCAAATGATGAAAAGAACAAGGTCAAGAGCAGAGCCCTTCGCCAAGGTCCACAGGTTGGGGGGATGGGGTGGGAAAGAATCAAGAATGAACCCTTTCCAAGTAGGATCTTCCCCTGATTATAAACATGCTGATAACATTACCAGGTGGTCCAGGGGGATGTCCTAAGATTCCATCAAAGCCCTCACCAAATCCAAAAATACTCTAATATCCAAAATAAAATAAAACAAAATTGATATGGCTTGTCCTCAGTGAGCCCAATCAAACCCCAGTAACAACCATTTTCTAAGTGCTTTTCTAAGGGCTCACAAGCTTTTTCTAATTTGTGGAGCCTACCTCTTCCGCGTTTTTGATAAATGGACATTAGTCATCTCCAGCCTCTAGCCCCTTTGCTGTTTCCCACACATCCTGTAGGTCACCAACCACAACCTCAGCACCCCAGGACAGAACTTGCCAAGTTCAGGAGATGAATCACCCAACTTGGGTTCAAGTCTCTTCTACCACCATTGGTCCTTTTTCAAACTCAAAAGAAAAAAATGGAAGCCAAGTGGACTCAAGAGTCCCTGCCATTTCTTTCTGTTCCCCCACTAATGTTATACCATTGGCCTCCAGGACTAGGCATTGTTCCATTGCTCTTTTTCTAAATATATGTAACAGCCCTCTTGGCCGTTCTGAGTTTCACTGCAAGCTTCAGCTCACTCCAGTGACCTCTGGACCATATTCTACCTTTATCTTTGGTTATATGTTCCTCCTTTCCATTTAACTGCTTTCCAGTCTCCTTCAACAGACGGCTTCCCAGGTAGCCATATCAGTTTCTGGTCACTGCCTTCTTTTCCTTAAGAGGACTACTTTCTTTCATTTCTAAGAGCTTCCTGACCGTCCTGAACAATTTGCTACTTAAGATCACCCCAGTTCATCCTCTCTCTATTCTGAAATTTGGAAAGCTGCTTCCTGAAGATCGAGTTCCCCTACTCTCCCCAGCTCCCAAACGGCCTGCTAGTTCTCAAAGTGAGGATTGTGCCTAGGGCCAGCCTTCAGAAACATTCCCAGTTTGGTGATGGCCCTGTTCAGGGGCTCCCTCCTCCCTCTCAGCTCTACCCTTTCCTTCCCTCTGCATCCCCCTCACAGTCTCCCCCTGGCTCCTGGGGAATTCCAACCAGGGATCCAAGTAGGCCTCCCACCCTGGTCCATAGCTGCAGCTTGAGATCTTCCCCTTAAGATCTTCCCCTAGTCTCTCAATCTATCCGTCTCTGGCTACCCTCCCAGGTTACACTGTCATTGTTAGGGAGCTTCTTGGGGTCAATGTCTTTCCTAAAGAGTAATGTGAAGAGTATGTAATGAGCCCATCCTTCCCAATGTCCCTCCCTTGACCCCTATCAAGCAGCCACCTCTCCTTGGCAGTGACCCTGACCCCAGTGTTGTCTGGCAGGCCCAGGCTAGTTTTTCTGGTTTTAGAAGTATGTCACTTAATCTGATTCTTCAGTCCTGTGGGCTTTGTTCTTTCATTTTCATTCACTCTGTAAAAAGGTCCTGGG